CACACACACACACACACTCACACACAATCACACACACACACACACACTCTCTCTCTCTCTCTCACACACACACACACATACACGAAGACACACAACGCAGGTCTCTAACACAACCGTACGTGTTGAATAACCGAATGTAATTTTAGGCGAACAGGATCCATAAGGTTGTCTTGTCCTCCACTACTTTTTTACTTTCTATTTTTTCGGATTTGTTGCAGCTCGCCTTGTGACGCGACTATTTTACGAAATAAATATGGCGGAGTCAGCTGGGTACAATCAGCCAACGGACAAGCGCAGCTTGGCACTCGGCGAAGAGGTACTTTTTGTGTTATTGTTGTTATTGTTGTTGATTTTGTGTTTGTTGTTATTGTTTTTGCTGGTATTTATTACATTTGCTTCTTATATTCTGTCCATATTTTGTTCCTGTCTGTTTGTCTTTTCCCAACCACTGCATTACCTTATTGTTTGCAAGTGCCGTAAAACACTTACTAAAACTTTTCCCAACCAAAGTATGATAAATGTACTTTTCTTTACCTTAAAAAGAGGAGGAAAAAGAAAAAGAAAAGAAGGATACGATGAAGCTAATGATGTGCAGTGGCAAATGACTCTACTTCAACTCACAACGATGCTTTCTTGAACATGGTTTGGCTTGGGAAGTTTTCAGAGCTCTTTTTTTTTTTTCAAAGTGTGGCGTTCGCAACTGCAAAGGGCCACATGAGCGTGCTCGACACATAGATCATGTTTAGTGAGGTAGGAATTAATTTTAAATTTGATCCAGGTGGCGGCCGAAACCTACTGTTATCGATTTAAGGACCCTCAAGGGATCTTTAATGTGCGCAACGTACACAAGGGACCTCTTGGTGGAAAAAAAACAACTACAAAGGCAGCCGATTTCTGTCACTTAACCATTAGACACCGTACGTTATAAGAATCAATCTGTACAATTTCTACAAGCGCACAGAGCCACAGCCTACTATCTTTAGTTTTAGTAGAGGTTTTACGGCGCTCGCAACTGCATAATAAGGTCATATGAGCGCCAGAAGATTAGAGGTGTTACAAGAGAGTAACTAACATAAAAAAGAAGAAGGGGAGGTAAGGACGATAGATGTTTGATAGGAAAGAAGAAGCACACCACACCAGAGCACCCACCAACCGCCCACAGCTTACTCTCTGCAGGATCGGAGGCGACTTATTCTATTGGAATTTAATTTTGATTCCTGCTCGCCGAAAGCCGCTGGCGCTCATATGACGCAGTGGCAGCAGTGGAGAGTTCCGTAAAACCTTACTATAGTAAAACAATATATACAGCGAACGGGAGTCATAAAGAGGGCTCTTGTGGTTCAGAGGTTAAGGTGTTTGCCTCTCATTCAAGAGGTCCCGGGTTAGATTCCGGATAGCAACGGAACATTTTCTTCTCTAAACTTTTCTCATTTCATATTCTTTTCTGCTCTCTAACAATATTCTGTCGCCTGCTTTCGTTTCTCCTTTCTGCCCCACCCCCTCGCCTCCATTGCCCCCTCCTCTGGGTTCCTGACTCTTTCTGCAGGCTGTCTACTGCTGCTCCTTGTCTCCTCCTTAAGGCTGTCTTTCAGCCTCAACCCTGATCTTATGGTTGGAAAGATTTGCACCTAGTCTTCTCGGATAATGACGAAAAATCTCGGGAGGTCCTTGTGCAAGTTACGCACGTTAAAGATTCCTTGGTGGTCCAGAATCGATATGAGAAGGCTTCGGCCACCACCCGGGCAAAATTCAAAATGTCCTATCAACTGACAATGTCTGGTGTGTTCCGTGCGCTCATATGACCCTATGCAATTGCGTAAAACACTGAAAGAAAATACCCCTCCCTAAAAAAAGTAAATAAATTTAAAAAACTAACGTAGTAATAGTCTTGATAAGCGCGTTAAACCCATACCATTTCCATAACTGAAGCATGGATTTATGCGTAAATGTTCTTATTATTGAAAAATAACTACTTTGCAACACTAGATGATGAGATGAGATAAATTTTGTTTATCCAAGGATGAAATTTTATGTGGATCTAGCAGAACATAAACACACGAGGTATGTCGTACATAGATTCAGCTACAACATAATATTATGCACTAACTGGTTACATTGTTTCACAATGATACACATTTTAACCGTATACGCACGTCGACTTTTACTATCGTATCCATACGACGTGGGGAATTCTGTGCCACCACTTTCCAAGGAGGAAAATTATTTTTTAATCAGATCCGTACGCTTTACGTAGCAGTCTGTCAAATGATTTTTAAAAAAATAAGAAATACTGAAAGTTTCAAAGAGATCTTCGTTCTAGAAGTATTCTAAAACTAGTTGGGTACCCCGTTCGATGAACTGACTCAAAAGAATCGATCGTCAAGTCAGTGTGGGACCAGTGTGCACTGCTTGTGAACGGAAACCTCATTTGTTTACAGTAGTGTCTTAGAAGACGGACTCTCCCAAGATTAGATCTAAACGAAACTAATGAAAAACTGAAAATTAAACTACTGTGACTTCAGACTCCTTGATATTACTGTGCACCCTTTACATGATTTTGAACAACCTTTAATTTGTTCAAATTCGAAAGTTAAATGGTTCAGAAGTTTTAACAACCAAAGTGACGAACTTTCACAAATATATATTATCTATGAAGAATACAACCCCGCGGGTACCAAAGAACCCCAGGGCGTAGCCTACGGATAGGGTTAACAATATGTACAGCGATGCACAACTCACTCACAAAATAGTGTAAGCGGACTTTACACAAGCAAGACAATATTGCGTAAAAAATAACGTACCTTGCCATGTTTCGATTACAGAGGTTGTTTTTTTTGGTAAGTGTTTTACGGCGCTAACTGCATTATTAAGATCATAATATGAGCGCGCGGAACACGTGAAACTTTTTCAGTTGGTAGCAAATTGTGAATTTTGCCCGGGTAGCAGCCGAAGCCTACTCCTATCGATTTTAGAGCACGAACGTGCGCAACTTGCGCATGGGCCCTCCGTGATTTTTAGCCCTTGTCCGAGAAGGCTAGGTGTAGATCTTTCCTACCAGAAGATCAGGGGTGTGGCTGAAAGACAGCAGTAAGAAGAAGCCAAGGAGAAGCAGTAGAAAGGCTGCAGAAAGAGCCAGGAGCCCAGAAGAGGGGGCAAAGGAGATGAGCGGGGGCAGAAAGAGGAGACGAAAGCAGACGACAGAACTTTGCTAGAAAGCATGAAAGGACGTGAAAGGAGACAATTTTAGAGAAAACAAGTTCTAGGTCGCACCCGGATTCGAACCCGGGACTTTTGAATGAGAGGCCAACACTTTAACCTCTTGGCCACGAGAGCCCCCCTCCAGAATTATGTATGTGGTGTAGCCGTTAGCGCTCCACCGTCGCTCGCAGAAGACGTGAGTTCGATTCCTTACTGGGGAAAGTTTCTTATTGAGTATCTCCGTCTGTTTGCCGGGACGTCGTATCCCTCTCAGCCAGGGTTGTTCCTGAGTGACAGACAGGATTGGAACCACTCACCTCATGAATTATCTAAATTGTGTCTATGGGGGTGTAAAACATGACCACAACTACTTCTACTCCCCCCCCCCCCACTAGGGTAGTGCTACTGACTGAAGTTGTCTTTAGGCCATTCCCAAAGGGCGGATATTAGCATGTTATTATGCGTAGTAGAACTGTAAATGTAAAATGGGTTGGTTTATCAATGTCATGCTCATACTGTGCCGGGGCAACATACATCGGGGGAACTGCTGTTTTTTTTTTCTTTCTTAATCCTTACTATCGTCATTTATCCTCTACTTCTTTTTTTATGTTTGTCACTCTCTTTTGAACTGCTATTTCCGGGGTGCTTTGATAGTCGAAGTAGACTTTGTGTTGTTGAAGCTAGAGAGGTGAGCAGAAAAAGTCTGATTTCCTGTAAGGACTTCTCTGTTGACATCCACCACTTGGCGCTCACATGACTTTATGCAGCTGCGAGCGCCGTAAAACCGTACTCAAATTAAACTAAAACAACTACTTCTACCCCATTTCAGAATGCCACTGTGCAGCAGCCACCCGCTTATGCCCCGCCGTCCGTGGTCTACCCGAATCCGCAACCCTACTGTGCACCGTCATCGTCCCAGCAAATGTCAAGTACGAATACCACTGTAGTGGTGAATCAGCCCAGGCAGCAGAACATCAAGATGCCCCGAGACTGGAGTACTGGAGTGTGTGCGTGCTGTGACCACGTGGGCATCTGTGAGTATCTCTGTCTGTCTCTGTCGCTGTCTGTCTGTCTGTCTGACTATCTGTCTGTCTGTCTGTCTCTTTCTCTCTCTCTCTCTCTCTCTCTCTCTCTCTCG